GTGGCGTCGACTCATGAATATGCAAACACGGGCGGGGCCACCGCACTCGGGGCACGGGGGCCCCATCCCGGCCTTGGGCGGGGTGGACACGACAAGGGCTCACCTGGGTCCCTTCCCGGGGTTGGGGGAGGTCCCCATGGAGACAACACCTGAGGCCCTCTCCGGGGTCGGGGAGGGCGTCCCAGACACTTGGGTCCCTTCTCGGGGGAAGGAGCTGCACACTTTGGGAGGTCCTGGTCCCATCCGGGGGGGTGGGCTGCAAACTTTGGGGGGTCCCAGGGGGTGGAGAGAGGGCACAGGACACCTGTATCCCTTCCCACGGTCAGTGTGCCATGGCCCTGGGGACACCCACACACCTGTGTCCCTTCCCGGGGTGGGGGGAACCCGCACACCTGTGTGCCCTCCCAGGTGTGTCCCCGCCCACCCCCGTGGCCTTGGGGGCTCAGGTATATCCAGGGGGCCCTCGGGGCTCGGGAGGCCTCAGCGATGGCGTCGGCACTGCTGGTGACACTGGTGGCCTTGGTGGCCGTGCTGGGTGGGGGGGTGGAGGCCCAGTGCCCCAGCCCCTCCGAGGTGCACACCGCCAACGGCACCCGCCTGTGCGCCCTGCTCTACACCGACGACAGCCCCTACTACGACCAGTGCTGCGCCGGCGCCGTGCTGGAGGTGGAGCCGGGCAGCGACGTGCCCTACATGCCCTACAGGTGGTCCGGCCGCACCTCCTCGCTCGTGGTGGGCACCCGCTGCGAGCTCAACGTGTGGTCGCGCAGGGGCAAGGAGGGTGACACGCGGCGCTTCAGCGCCGGCGCGGTGCCGCGGCTGCAGGAGGTGCACCGGGGGCTCTTCGGAGACTGGGACAACGCCATCCGCGGGTACTACTGCACCTGCAAGTGAGGGCACGGCCGCACGGGCAAGGGTCAGAGCCAGAGGGGACAGCGAGCCAACGTGGGCCAATGCAAGTCAACGTGAGTCAACGTGGGCCAAGTGACACCAACGTGGGCCAAGTCACACCAACGCGGGCCAAGTGACACCAATGCGGGCCAAGTGACACCAACGTGGGCCAACACACGACAACGCAGGCCAAGACGAGTCAACCTCGGCCAATGTGAGTCAACACAAGCCAACGTGAGTCAACACAAGTCAACGTGGGCCGCGTCACGCTCCTCGTGAGCCCACACGTGTCCCATGGGCCGACACGTGTCAACACGGCCATGACCTGTCCCTGCCCCCCCTCCTGTAGGAAATAAAGCCCTGAGGCAGCAGCAGCTCCTGCCTGGGGGGTGTTTTATGGGGGGGGGGGGTCACCAGCCCCCCCCAG